AGACTAAGTTCCACTCTGTCTCCACCTCCCCTGCCCCTGCCAGTGTTGGGGTTACAGGCAAGCACTTCATTATTTTTTTAGGGAAAAAGTAAGATTTAATAAGCCACTTTTCTAGATTAGATCAGCATTTATATGCACATGAATTGTGATGTAATAGAGTCAGGAATAATTAATGAAAAAAGAGGCCATGAATTTGAAAGAGAACAAGGGGAGGTATATGGAAGAGTTTGGAGGGAGAAAAACAAAGAGGGAAATGATGTAATTAAATTATAATCTCAAAACCTTAAAGAATTAATTTTTAAATAAAATAATTTAAAAATGAAAAGGCCATGAGTTGTTTTCCATGCACGCTCTCTGCTTCATGTTTGTAGACCAAGATGTGAGTTCCCAGCTATTTCTTAGCCAGGCCTCTGCACAGCCATCATGGACTCTAGTCTTCTGGAACTGTAAACCCCAAATAAACCCTTCCTTCATTAGGTCGCTTTGGTCCTGGTGTTTTATCACAGCAACAGAACAGTAACTAATATGTTGGTACTTTTCTTAACTATTATGTAAGTAGAAAATAATTTAATAAAAACTCCCAAAAATATTTAAATCTACTCTAGTAAGTTCTCTGTAGCCATCCTTAAGCCTAAAACAAAGGCAAGTTAATATGGCTGTAGCAAGCTAAATAAATGACCCAAAGACTGATAGTTGGGTTCAAGCTTCAAGCTGAAGATCAGAAAAACAAAGCAGCTGGTTACTAGCTCTCACTCTACCTCAGGCTGAAAGGGCTGATCCTGTCTCCACAAACTCTCACCAAGCCTCAGACTGTTGCCTCTCCTAAGCATAGCTGGAGAATCCTGAGACTTCAATGTCTTTCTATCCTCAGTGTGGCTGGAGTATGATTGCCTGATACTGACTACTGAAAACCCTGCTCCTATCTTCTATACCCCTCTAGTGCTGGGTTTAAAGGTGTGTGATCCCAAGTGCTGAGATCATCTTTGTGTGAGCTGTTTCTCTTTAGGACTGGATCAATCTTGTGTACATCTGTCTACCTCTTAATCCACCACATCCTAGCTTCTGTCTGCTGGGATTAAAGGTGTGTATCACCACTGCCTGATCTCTATAGCTTGAGGCTTGCTTTGCTTTCTGAATCCTCGGGCAAGCTTTAATAAATCATAAATAATATATCACCATATAAGGAATTATAAATGTGTGTCCTAATAATTAAATATAATAATGATGACACGATTCAAGATTTATCTTATTATAAAATCACTGAATCTCAAGGTTGGAAAAGAACTAAGAGACCAAACAGCTCAAGCACACATTCAAGTTTCCGGGTACAGTATAATACATATTGAAGGCAAGTGTGTGGGAACCATGAGTCAGTGACAAAGAGGCTGTTATACCTTAAACTGCTGTTGATCTCCACCCAGCCCAGTTTCCATGACACATGAAGCAAAAGTCCACCGATGAGAGTCTGCCACCTGGGAAGGACAAATGTCCAGATGAGTTACCCGAGCCTGCAGAGTTCAACGCCATCCAGCCAGGACAGGCCTGCTGATGGCCACTAGAACATATCTCCAACCCTCCCACATCTCTCTCCTCCCCCTTTCCCAGCTAGCCTCTCATTCCTCAGACATTTTCCCATCTCCATTCCTTTGAGTCCAGCTCTCCAGTGAGTACTGACATTCTTACTCGCCTCTTCTCCTCCTGGACATCCCCTGCACCTCATCCACAGCCACAGACAGGAATGACTTCCAGATCCCCGTTCTCATCCAGGTACTTCCACTCTGAAATTCCACAGACTCCCAATTAAGTCACCTGCAACATGCTATCTTAGACATGCCCCAGCGCTGGTCATCATCCTACCGCCTTTAGTCAGCCAGCTGAGATATCCCCTCAACCGTCTTCCTAGCCCTTCCTCACACCTCACTTCCCTGGCCGGCTTGGCAAAACCCTCACCATTGTATTTATCGCCATAATAGCATTCGCATCCAAGTGACCCCCCCCCCCCGGGCCCAGTTTTTGTTGTAATTTTGTCTTTACCTGTCTTGCACCTGGTCCTTAGCATCCTATGACTCCTGAGGGTTGTCCCCCACCGTTCTCTACCTCGTAGCAGTTTTTTTATTTCTAAGCTGCTAACTAAATCATGTCACTTCCTTGTTTTAAAAATGGTTTATTCTTCCTCAGCCCCTTCAAGGCCACATGCACCCTGGGTCATAAAGCTCCCTAGAGGAAAAGTGCTCTCACCAATACTGTCAGGGACAAGTGCTAGAACACTCCTCTCTCCCTCACTGTGCAAAGCACAATAAAATGCCAAATGAGCCGGGCATGGTGGGACATACCCGTAATTCCAATACTTGGGAGGCTGAATGATGGCTCTGTGGCTAAGAGTAGTCCCTTCTCTCCAGAGGGCCCATGGTCAGATCCCATCACCAGTGTTGTGCGGCTCACAACTGCCTGCAATTCCAGCCCCAGGAGACCCATCGGCCTCCTCAATCACTGAATACACACTTATAAAAATAAATCTTTAAAGAAAAGAAGGAGGGGGTTGTGAATTCAAAGGTGTCTCCTGGAGATGAAAGAGAGGTGACAATTCCAATAATTCTCTTCAGCAATGTTCCTTATCCTTATTCAGGTGTTCCAAGTAACATCCAGCTTCCAGACCTACCACAAATGCAGCAAATCCCCACTGATCCCTTTAAAGTGCACCCACAAAGGAAGGAGCCACTGTTCATGAAGCCACCCAAGTATCTCAAAGATTCCTGGTGGGTCCACGGCTCCCTCCGCCCTCATGCAGCTAACCTCTTCCTGATAGTGTTACTGCTAACCCTTTACTTTCCACTGACTACCATGATCTAAGCCATGTCACATCCATGTCCAGGGGTCACATCTGACAGCAACCTGACCTCTTAGGACCCTCTTAATGTTTAGTTTAGTCAACTTTATATTCTAGATGACTCATTCATACATTTTAAGAGCCTATTTTTAGTCACAAATGGCATGAGACACCTCACCTCAAAAATGACTATAATATACCCATGTGTTGTAATATTAGGCTGAGAACCCCTGGCCTCCAGAACAAAGTCCCTCATGTGTGACTCAAAGCCCTCTTGACTTGGGCCAGCCCCTCCCCAGGAGACGCTCTCTCTCCCTGCCTTGAGGATTCCCAGGGCACATAGCCTGCAACCTCCTAATGTGCCAGGCCATTTCTGACTTCTTGGAATTTGTGGGTACTACCCCACTACCCATGATATCCCTCCATTTCCCCATGCACTAAGAGACAACTGGTCAGTAGTAAGAACCATTGTTTCACTGCCCAGCCAAGAGCAGAACACCCAGTCCATGCCATGAATCAGCCTGACCTAGAGCAGAGCTCTGAAACTGGTCGGTTCCTCCCAGAGACACAGTAGTTTCTGTGTAGCCCTGATTGTCCTGGAACTCACTCTGTAGACCAGCCCTCAGAGATCCACCTGCCTCTGCCTCTGCCTCTGCCTCCTAAGTGCTGGGATTAAAAGTGTGCGCCACCACCTCCTGGTTCTCACGCGCATGTGTGTGTGTTTGTGTTTGTTTATGTTTGATTATATATGTGTCTGTGCATCATGTCTGCAGTGCCTATGGAGGTAAGGTGAGAGTGTAGAAATGGAGTTACAGACCACTATGAGCTACCACGTAGGTGCCAGTGAGTGCAGCTGGGCAGTGGTGGCGCATAACTTTAATCCTAGCACTTAGGAGGCAGAAGCAGGCTGATCTCTGAGTTCGAGGTCAGCCTGGTCTACAGAATGAGTTCCAGGATGACCAGGCTTACACTGAGAAATCCTGTCTCAAACAACAACAACACGATAAGATGGTTAACAGGTAAAAGTGTTTGCCACCAAACCTGAGGACCTGAGTTTGATTCTTAGGGCCCACATGGTGGAAGGAAAAAACCAACTCCTGGAAGTTGTCCTCTGACTTCCACCCATTAAGTGTGGCACATGTACACACATAAATAAATAAATAAATAAATAAATACAAATAAATGTAAAATTTTAAATAAGAGTAGCTGGTGCTCCTAACTACAGAGCTACTTCTCCATCCCCCAGTCTTAAAAAAGCATGAGTGATGTATTCTATTCATATTTAAATGGCATAATGCTGAAAACAATTCAATGATGGTGAATGTTCTTCTGTGTATATGTTTCTTAATGGTTGATGAATAAAACACTGATTGGCCAGGCAGGATGATAGGTAGGACTAGGAGACATGGGGAATTCTGGGAAGTGTAGGGAGAGAGGAGTTGCCAGGTGATCCCAGGAAGTGACATGGCTGGGCAGAAACTGCCACAAGCTAACCATAGAGGTCTGGAGGTCTGTACAGACAGGCAGGAAGTGACGTAGCTGGGCAGAATCAGAATATAAGCAGGGACAAACAGGAAATTGCTCTTTTCTTCTCTGCAGAGATGCTGAACAGTTGAGATGTAAGACACTATGTAGTTGTTGCCCCCAGAGTTCAGAAGAGGGCATCAGCTATCTTGGAGCTATAATTGGAGCCCACTGGGAGCTGCCATGTGGGTTCTGGGAATTGAACCCCAGGAAAATAGCTAGTGTTCCTAACCACTGTGCCATCTCTCCACCCCTTAGCTCTTTTCCCTAAAACAAATTGACAAAAGAGTATCCAAAAAGAGACTACTGAAGACTATTGTTTTCAGGATCCAAAGGTAAAAGAAAGGATTTCACAATAAATGGGCATATGAAAAGTTGGTTAACTATTGAGGGAGGGACTATCTTCTCAGAGTGACCATACGCTTATGTAAGCTAACAATAGTTAGGGGCTTTACCAAATATATATGAACAGCTGTAAGATACCTTCATGGAGGAAAATAGTCATAAATGGAAATGCAATGGCAATGACCACAAAAGAAACAGCATGTTTACCCATAAACATACAGTATTTAAGGAATAAAATAATTAAAAGGTAAGTAAATTGCAAAAATTTTTCCAATAAACATAATGGTCAAGAGGTAGTACCATTTAATGTTTTTTGTTTTTGTTTTTTTTTGGTGTGTGTGTGTGTGTGTGTGTGTGTGTGTGTGTGTGTGTG